GCAAGCTAGATTAAAGTGATTATTACGTTTTGAATATGGATATTTTTCTTACAAAAACGCATCGATTCGCTACAGGAGGCCTTTGTTCACCCCCCGGAGCCGTGCGAGACACTTTTTTTTTTTATGGAAGGGCGCTTTTTATTTCACGTCTTTTGGACAGAAGCAATGCAACACCCGCTGAGTGCCATGAAACAGCTTGAAAGATCAAAAACTATTTTTAATAGAACTCCGACTGGATTTGTCTGAAAGAAGAAAGTCATATACACCTAGGATGCCTCGGGGGTGAGTAAAACGCAGCCTAATTTAATTTTTGGGTGAACTAACCCTTCAAAATTATATCAGAGCAGTTACATTATTTAAAGGCTAATTTTTGTATTATCAGACAATCCAATGGACAATGCCAGAGGACCTTCTGATTTGGTCTTGCTAGTCATTTTTTCAAGACTAGTCATAACTTTGTCTGTTATATAAAAAGGTAGACTGGTCTAGTTTGAAAGTGAAAAGTAAGACTCGTTACCCCTTGGCTAACTGCTAGTTGGTCATACTAGTTTTGTCTTAATGTGTTTATGCAACTGGCTCAGAGTTATGGTGGCTGGCTGATTGCAAATCTATTCTCACAGATTGACGAATACTATGGAGATGCTGCAGGGGCAGGTGGACACGCTAACTGCTCGTGTGGAGGAGTTGCGCACTTTGGAAGAGCTCAGGGTTCGCAGAGAGAAGAAAGAGAGGAGAAAGACTGTGCACACGTTCCCCTGCCTCAAAGAACTCTGCACCGCTCCCAGGTACGTCCCGGTTTATTACGTCTGCAGTGGAGTAATGTTGTGTCATTAAAAAATGTGTCCACTGGCAAGAATGACACAAGAGATGATATTTCACTGTGGATTGTCATTTCCAAGAAAGAAATCACAGAATGAAAAAGACCTTAGTCAGGGTAGCGCCATATTTAATTTCTGACAGGAACAAAACGTGGCTGTGAGGGATAGAAGACTTTAAGTCTGTCCCTCAGCCTCGTTTTTTTTTTTTATAAAATTCATCAAATAAGGTTTTCATAAAATGTATCATACATTTGTATCATAAATTAAGGTTTATCATACATTTTATCATAAAATTCAATATGGCATCGTTTTTTATTTTTATTTTGTAATGTTCTCGGAGGTCCACTTATAATGTTATCAAGATTTTTACATCAAGAAACATAATTTAGAAGTAATTAAGAAGTTATTTTCTGTTCTGCTTTGACCCCCCTCATTGGAACACTGTTTGAATAGGCGTGGCGGATTAAAGTCAGCATGAAATTAATATTTCTTAAATGTAACTTATGGATCTTATTGCAAATTATAAATTTTTTTATCAAAATAACTCTTCATCAATATAATAAGTCTTCTCTCTGGTGACACTTGCCGGACTTCTCCAGTCTTATTAATCCCCCCCTACAAGCTTACTCACCTTCTTCTATCTTGCTCGCGTTCATCTTCCTTCCAATTAACAGCCAATGCACACAACCAAGTTCTGCCAAACATTTTTCTTTTTTAGAAATCTGTCACACTCGGATGTCAAAATACAGAAGATCTGTCTCCACATCCATTACATTGTGACTTTAAAAATGTCTAACCGTGCAACATTATTTTTGGTCTCTAAACCCGAAGTTTCTGTTCTTTGAATCCATCTTTGTGTGGTCTTTGTGCCTATGGTTTGGTGTTTCTTTTCCAGGTACGAGGATGGTTTCATGGTGTCTGACCCAGGCAGCGGTGACCTACAAGAGTGTCAGCCTGCTGACGAAGTGAACGAACATCTGCGTGTGATGGTGTCATCTTTGCGTGCTGCTGTGGCGGCCGAACGTGGACGGCGTGAGGCCGCTGAGCGGGAATGTGGCACTGTGCTACAGGAGTTTGAGCGGCTGGAGCAGCGCCTCATGGGGGCCGAGAATTGCCAGCGGCGCGTGCACGAGCTAGAGGCGGAGCTCCAGGAGATGCAGCAGCTCCGCAAGTCCCGAGCCTGCCTCCTGAGCGGAGACGAGGGCCTGGAGCAGACGCTGCTCAACTGCGCACCCGAGACGGACACGCCGGAGGATGCAGTTATGGCTGGAACGCAGAATGGGGATGTGAATGATGGAGCTGCACCCGTCCGGAAGAGTTGCAGTGATACGGCTCTAGATGCCATCTCTGCGGTCGATGCCTCAGGGAGACGCAAAGGCAGCTACGCGCTTCATGCCAACGGTGTCCGGAAGAGGGGCATGTCCATCCTCCGAGAGGTGGATGAGCAGTATCATGCCCTTCTGGAGAAGTACGAGGAGCTGCTCGGGAAGTGTCGGCGCCACGAGGAGAGTCTATGCCACGCTGGGGTGCAGACCTCCCGGCCCGTGTCCAGAGATCCGTCCATGAAGGAATGCAGGGTTGCAGAGCCCCAGCAGCCGCCCACTCCACCGCAGACGCCCTCGACTCCAGAGGCCCTGGAGGGCCTCAGCCGGCAAGTGGAAGCTGTGGACAAGCGGCTGAGCCAAAACACTCCAGAGTATAAAGCCCTCTTCAAGGAGATCTTTTCCCGCTTACAGAGGACCAAGAGCGACATAAACTCCACCAAAGGGAGGAAAAGCGGAAAATAGCCCATTTTGCTCAGCATTTGTGCCACTGATTTCTTTCCCTGGTCTTTCATGTAATGTCTTTTTCTTTTTAACTAGTCAGAAAGATGTTTAGATACATCTGTTATTTAGTACAGCTCATCCATGAATTATTTGGTGCCACACATCAAGAGATAAATGGTGGTTTTCTGGACGTTTTGAGTCTAATGTGCTTTTGCCGGGTTGGCCGTTTAGGGTAGACCAAATTACTCGCTAGCGGTTAAACTGTAACCATAATCACCCTAAAGTTGATCAAGCACAGGAAGACATGATTATTTCCTTTCTCCACATGTATTACGTTACAGCTAACCACAGCATTGTGTAACCACTTTTGTTCAATATTAAATCACACTTTGCTTTATAAGGTTGTTTGATATATTTATTACCATGAGCGTGGATGAATGAGTGAGTGAAGTGATCAGGATGAATCGGCTGTAGGGTTGTCTCTAGATGGAAACCCTTGTTCTGTGAAAAATATCACATGCAACATTTGAAGACTCTTGCAGCAATCCTTGTCTTCATGTACCACCCACAGACTGACCACATGATGCACATTTCACACAAAACTGGCCCGCAATAGCAGAAAACCACTAGTTCAAATCTGGCTGACTTTATGTCTGGGAGTTTGGGTGAATCCACAAGGAACTAAAGGTGCTCACAAGGTTGCTGTAATTGAGGAAGCCCTAGTCACGGGACTTAAGGTTTATCAGGTTAATGCCATCAGGTCTCGTGCAGAAGATATCCAGAGTGTTGTTTTAGGCACTTAATAGTAAAAGACACCAACAAGCAGAACTTTGAAGTTTATAGCAACTGGTTGTTTCACTACCAGATACACTGATCACAAAGTCTCCATACATTTGTTTCTACATCGGCCCATTTTTGGTGTTGTCAACCATTTTGAGTAACCCCATCCCTCATAAAGCTGAAAGTATACTTCCCTTGTAGCCCAATTTTTGTGTCTGCGTGGACAAGTAGGTCAGGGATGGGCAACTCCAGTCCTGGGGGGTCCAGTGTCCCTGCTGAGTTTAGTTATATCCCTCCATTGACAACGAGAGCCAATGAACCTGTTCGGCGCAAGCGTGCTACCTAGTGCAGGGATGGGAAGCGCCAGTGTCCTGCAGAGTTTAGCTCTATCCCCATTTAAACAGTTCAGGGATCAGGACTACACTCTGCAGGTCACTGAACCTCCACAACCAAAGTTGCCCATTTCTGCACTAGGTAGTATGCTTGCACTGAACAGGCCCATCCACGCTCATTATCAACGGATCATACTTTGAATGGCTGGTGTGCTCAATGGAATGAACACAGACTAACCAGACCTTATGCCAATAATCTGACCACATGATGCACATTTCACACAAAACTGGCCCGCAATAGCAGAAAACCACTAGTTCAAATCTGGCTGACTGGGAGTTTGGGTGAATCCACAAGGAACTAAAGGTGCTCACAAGGTTGCTGTAATTGAGGAAGCCCTAGTCACGGGACTTAAGGTTTATCAGGTTAATGCCATCAGGTCTTGTGCAGAAGATATCCAGAGTGTTGTTTTAGGCACTTAATAGTAAAAGACACCAACAAGCAGAACTTTGAAGTTTATAGCAACTGGTTGTTTCACTACCAGATACACTGCTCACAAAGTCTCCATACATTTGTTTCTACAGCGGCCCATTTTTGGTGTTGTCAACCATTTTGAGTAACCCCATCCCTCATAAAGCTGAAAGTATACTTCCCTTGTAGCCCAATTTTTGTGTCTGCGTGGACAAGTAGGTCAGGGATGGGCAACTCCAGTCCTGGGGGGTCCAGTGTCCCTGCTGAGTTTAGTTATATCCCTCCATTGACAACGAGAGCCAATGAACCTGTTCGGCGCAAGCGTGCTACCTAGTGCAGGGATGGGAAGCACCAGTGTCCTGCAGAGTTTAGCTCTATCCCCATTTAAACAGTTCAGGACTACACTCTGCAGGTCACTGAACCTCCACAACCAAAGTTGCCCATTTCTGCACTAGGTAGTATGCTTGCACTGAACAGGCCCATCCACGCTCATTGTCAACGGATCATACTTTGAATGGCTGGTGTGCTCAATGGAATGAACACAGACTAACCAGACCTTATGCCAATAATCAGCAGTCCTAAGCTCGGTGGCACGAAGTTCTAATAGTAAAGTTTTGCAGAACAAGGCTTACAATCTAGACCTCACCCTGAAGTGTAAAAAAAAAAAAACACCAAAAAAAAACAATGGTACAGCATTCATGTTGGTAAATGGAAGACAAAAGAAACTGTCTGTTCTGAACACTTTAATATTGACACAGGTGAACGGTAATCTCCACACAGACTAACCAGACCTTATGCCAATAATCAGCAGTCCTAAGCTCGGTGGCACGAAGTTCTAATAGTAAAGTTTTGCAGAACAAGGCTTACAATCTAGACCTCACCCTGAAGTGTAAAAAAAAAAAAAACACCAAAAAAAGAGGCACTAATCCATGGTAATGAAATATAAATGATCACTAGATTTCTAGTAGAAATATCTTATACAGTTACGTTGCTGTGAAATTCTCATGCAATGACAAAAGTTGTGACACCCATTAATTCCTAGCAATTATTGCATCTAAATGTTTCCGGTTGTGGTCATCTAACCTTGAAGCTGATCTTTATCCTGTACTCCACTCCCTCTTTCAGCACAAACGACTGCTTCTTAAAGGACTCCAGATCACCTGAGAGTGGAACAAACACACACAAACACAAGTTAGTCCAGCTTTCAAAACACACCAGCGAGTGCATTGTTTTGAACTCATTAAACTCATGAGTGCTCGTTCTCCATCTTCATTAGTTCACCATCTTTGTCTAACAGTTCTGTCTAGTGTCTAACAAAATAAAGGCAAGCGCCAAAACAGTATTTCATAATATACTGCTGGCATTCATATCATTTTAACAAATCTTTGAATAGCCGTTAAACATTTAAGGGCTGTTTACACGGCCTTAAACTTTTTATGCTTTTTGCCTGCTCTTTTACACGACAACGGTGTTTTGGGGACTGAAAACGCATATTTTTGAAGACGGGTTTCAAAGTGTACGTTTTTGAAAACGCCACCGTTATCGTTTCCGTGTACATGTTAGGCATGTGCAGTACGTGTCGATTTTAAAGGCAAGCGCGAACAAACATACACAACAATGGCGGAGTACATGGTTACATGGTATAAACTCATGAGTGCTCGTTCTCCATCTTCATTAGTTCACCATCTTTGTCTAACAGTTCTGTCTAGTGTCTAACAAAATAAAGGCAAGCGCCAAAACAGTATTTCATAATATACTGCTGGCATTCATATCATTTTAACAAATCTTTGAATAGCCGTTAAACATTTAAGGGCTGTTTACACGGCCTTAAACTTTTTATGCTTTTTGCCTGCTCTTTTACACGACAACGGTGTTTTGGGGACTGAAAACGCATATTTTTGAAGACGGGTTTCAAAGTGTACGTTTTTGAAAACGCCACCGTTATCGTTTCCGTGTAAACACCCAATACGTGAATCTTTGAAAATGGTGACGTCATGCACGTACGTAGTACATGTTAGGTATGTAGACATGTGCAGTACGTGTCGATTTTAAAGGCAAGCGCGAACAAACATACACAACAATGGCGGAGTACATGGTACGGTTGCTGCTGCTCAAGAGTTTGCTAACGCTTCTTCAGCAAAGTGTGGATTTAAAAAATTTTTTTTTCCAATTTTTAGAACAAAGAACATATAAGGGCAATAACATTTAAACTGAATGAAAACAAATACTTAAAATAAATAAGAATTAAATAAAAGCAATTAAAAAAAAAAAATCTCACGTCTGTAAACAAGTACAAATAATTACAAATCTTGGAGATCTTAAAGGTTTCTTTCCAGTTGACATCTTGAAATTGTGATCTCCAAAAACCAATGGCTAAAGGAACACTGGAAATTTGGCAAATCGTTCTAAGATAATTATTACATTTTTGTTCTTTTATATTTATACCTTCCGGTTTTTCGACTATATCATTTTCTAATAATTTCCTATGTTCTGAAGGAATGGCATTACTCCATTACTCCAATGGCATGTTACTCCTTAACAGGTATATAAAATGAGCATTTTTCTAAAAACTCTGAAAATTGAAGTGCATGACCATTACTACGATTCAGAAGTTGAGAAACCAACTAAATATTTGTTCTAAACCAATTAACTAAAAAAAGAGATTTATTTTGGTGTGTAATGTACTTATTATTCCTGATTAAGCATTTGTGAAGGGAAAAATTGTGTTTGTATATAATCATCCATGATGACAATGCCGGTTTGTGAAAATTGGAAAGTTTTATGGGAAGCTTGCTAATATTAAAATTACAATTAAGAAGAAATTCAATACCACCTACTTTTTCAAAAATAATATTAGGGATCTAACACCATAGCTTATCTTTTGAACGGATATCATTTTGTCTCCACTTAATTTTAAAAATGGTGTTAGATATTTCGAGATACTTTTTGGAATATCTATAGCCATTGCGGTGTAAACTAGTCTGGATAAACCTTCTATCATTTTGATAATAAAACTCTCCCGTTTAAAGAAAGGTCTCTCATCAGCCAAATGTTAAATTTCTTTTTAATTTTGTTCATTATTGGGGTATAATTAAGATTTATTCTTTCTTTTTAATCTTTGCATATCCCAATTCCTAAATAAGTAATATAATCTTTTATTGGAATGCCACAAAATTCAGACAAGTTACTGGGTCTTTCTTTTCCATGTTAGGAACTACAGTCTATTTGATTAAGTATGACGTCTCTGCTAACTGGGAACATTTAATCACATTATTGGCCAAGTGGATGCAAAGTGTGGATTTACTTCACCAATATTACAACCAACAGCGGAGATGCATCATATACAACATATAATCGTCACTTCCCAACAGGTACTGTTTACTAACAAGGTGACAGCGCCAACTACTGGCCTGGCGTACGTAATACAGCGTTTTTGGCCGTTTTCGCGGATATGTGCAAACGCAAATCGTTTCGAAAACGCTGTCGTGTATACGTGAAACTTTTTAAAAACGCAAGGGAAAGACGTTTCCGCTTTGGACTACATCGTTGTCGTGTAAACGTAGCATTAATTCCAACCTTTGACAAATCCAGTTTAAGACCACATTGTATCCCGTTTAAAAAAAACATGTACTCTTGTGTATGAGAGTCCATCTGTGTGAATGACCCAAGCTGTGTGATTTGGATGTGGCCATAAGAGGACATGAGTACGAGCGAGCAACTTCAAACTATCCAGCTTCCCGCATATTTTTATGTTGCCTGGTCTTTATTTCAGAAATTTGAATTTTTTTGAATGATTTGCATTTTAATTTTATGTTCCAAATTTTTAACATTAGTGAATAAATATTACAAAATGACTTGCAACAATTTGTTATGCTTGTTTTATTTGCTAACTTTAAATAGTCTGATATTATTTATAATGAGGGGGGGTTAAATTTTGTATATATTTACAAAAATGTAAAATTTCTATGGTTGATAAGAATGAAAAATACGTATGGCCAATAAAATCCTAGTCAGTTATGGTAGAGGTCTCATGTGTGAATGACAGACTGCAGTTGAATGCTGTTCCCAGCAGATGGCTGCAGGACACATATACTCTCCGTCTGCTCACCTTCTTCTCTCTCTGTGCCAGCGCTGAGCTCTCGCTTTCAGGCTGCTGTGCTTTATCTGGGTCATGTGACAGTAAGATTACATCGCACCACAGGTTTGGCTTAACGAAAACGTAAATAGCATTTACTAATAACGGAATGAATGTATGCAAGAGAAATGACCTCAGACTGTTAAATCACAACATATGCAATGTAATGTGATGAAACTATATATAAGAGGGGTATTTAAATGTATGCTACTATACTTTTTATTTATTTTTTTCTGTCAACATTATAGATTTCATGCTAACCTATCAATGTTGAAGTCTTACTTTCAAAAACGAAGCTGAAACAGGCAGGAACCAAAGAGGTTGGTGCGGCCGCGTCAAACAAGTATGCACTGATGAATGTTTATAGGTGAATAAAAGGCTAAATTGAATGCGTCCAGCATATAAAGCAATCGAGTCGTGATTTCCTTTCGACAACTGGACAACAATAATGAAAATATGAAAAATAGCTTTATTTGTAGTCCGAAGATGAACAAAAGTCTTCGGGCCAGATTTACTAACAGCTTGCACCATCTTTTGGCGTTAAAATAGTACTGTCAGGATTTACTAAAGACGCGCAGTGAAGAATTAGCGCTGAAAAGGTGTAGACAGTTATTTTTGTGCCTGACCTTATTGAATATGCATTTGTAGTTTCCCTTTAAGATGCAAAATGTATTGCACTAATTTGCGCTGCTCTCGGTAGATTGTGTTGGTCATTATGTAAATGAGATGTTGCGTCTGTGTTCTTTAATTTGTGCGTTGTCAGTAAATCACCTGCAGAAATTTACACACCCATCGGCGCGGTTTTGGAATTGCACTCTCGCGCTAATTTGCCCTGGTTAGTAAAACTGGCCCTTAGAGTTTGGGTGAGTAAATGACAATTTTCATTTTTGGGTGAACTAACCATTCAACAAAACAGGTAATCTCTGTACTCACCTTGCAGGTCAAGGGTCAGCGGGGCTGGAGCCGTCTCGCACATAAGAGTTAGCCGTGTCACCTGAACGTTGGTAATGTTGGGATCTGCGAAATTAACGCAAATAAGTACACAAGAAAAGCCACAGACATTTGTATATCTAGAACCTGAAATTAATTTTAGAAAATGTGAGGGATCCCCCCTTAGGTGACTATTATGGAAAGGAATTTCAAATTATGTAATTTCATCTGTGTGGATTAGTTTGTTCATTCATCATCCATACATACATACATACATACATAGTGAATACTAAACCAGAATAAAATATATATGGGTTTGGGTATCGTTTTTTTTTTTTTTTCGATACCGGTGCCAAATCGATACTTTTAAAACAGTTCCGGTAACTGAATCGATACTTATTAAAAAACTAAATAAAAAAAAATTCCCCAAAAAATGATGGATTGGCCATTAGCACTATAAACACATGATGTCCGTTTCATTCACACTGGACGCCAGAGGTCGCCCTCGCACAGAAAATCCACATATCCAGTCACAGAAGTAGCGGAACTCATGACCCTCCAGGAAATCCCTTATATGGACAAAGGCATAGCTATTAAAGCTGTAACTGAGTAAACAGAACATATAAACCTTTTGAATGATAAAACAAAGACAATAAACACTCGACTGCGACAATATAGTTTATCGGTGCTATTCAAGTCGTCTCTGATATTTTCATAATAATTAAGTATATTTATAATGCATTGCTAATCGATGTATTCTTTTTAAAGTAGCCTATGGAACATATTTTCTGCCTCATTCTGTGACAAGAAGCCACATCAGATCACAGAAGGAAGCATTTGACTGGTGTTGTGGAGTAAAAAGGCTATAATGTTCTCTTTTGTTAGACAACAAGTTTAGAAATGTGAATATACAAGGGAGGTTTAGCTGTAGGCATTTTAATTTAAGCATGTTTAGCTTAGTTAATGGAAGGCTACCTGCTGCCATCAGAGCAAGTGTAATTACTGCATTCACGCGCTCCTCGGATGCTCTCATTTCCCGAGTTGTGCTTTTAAGTCGGAATGTGAAAACAACATGGACAAGCTCGTTACTACAAAGATGTGTTGGATTTGTATTATTAGAGCTTTCCGACTTGAGTTCATGTGCATTTTCTCAGTCGGGAAATTATTTTTTGCGTGCGGTGCCGGTGATGATGCTTCTTACGTCCGTTTCTGAGAAATATATCAATCGATCGCTCAGGCATGGAACCGAAATGAGGCACCGAAATCTGCGTTCGGATTTGGTTCTAGTACATACCGGTTACATAGGTACTGGTGCCATACTGGTACCAGGTTTCGGTACCCAACCCTACTCCCTACTTAATGTTAAAATAATTCATCTTATTTCAGTTGATAGACATGGATAAGGTTGACTTCCTGAGTAATGTCTGACGATGACGATGACTTCCGGAAACACTCTGTTTGTTTGAGCAGCTCAACTTCTGGCTCCGCTAATGCTGCGAGATCTATTTGTTCTGTCGGTCGATAAAAGATGGAGAGGGGGTATATATGGGAAAAATGTTTAAAAACACATTTTTGCAAATCCGTTAGATGCCGCTTGTTCTATAAGGAACTCATGTCAACTTTATTATTTGTTTAGAGTACAGCCAGCAGTCCCCATTACTGACGAAAGCAGGTACTGCGGAAGCACCCCGCTGACGCTTATTGCAGCCCATCCATCATCCGCGCTGACGTCTCTGTGGGAGCTGCTTCATTCACTCTACATTAAATAATGAGATTGATGCGCGTGATAAAAAGCCTGTCTCTTGACGCCCGTTCAAACAGCTCTTCAGGTGATGGGATGAACCATAACACACCGCGTTATTGTAATGGCTGACTGCTGATAAAAACAAAAAGGAGCAGGATCTCGAGATACGTGACCTCGTTTTCCAGTGCTCTTGTGAGGGTGCTGGCAGATGACGCACAAGGACAGCAGCCAGAGGCGTTGAGGCCCCGTCTGAGAAGCGTTACCCAAGAGTCTACGGCTCTAGCCCAGAACAACACGATTTACTCAAGTAGGACACATTCCTGGATCAACATTATCTGATGGTCCTGGAACAACATGCGTATCTGGAGGAAGATCACGTGCTAATTATTTGGACAAATATTGCAGTCAGGCTAGATACCGGCAGCTACCTCGCAATACAAACTACAGCTCAGTACATCAACAATGCAACACAATATCAAATAATAAAACAAGCATCAAGTTCTTAGAAATGTAGACTTTGTAATCATGTTGGTTTCATGTGATTCTGAAAGACTTTTATTTTTTAATTCAGTGGCTTAAAATGTAATGTGGTGTAATCAAATATATTTTTATACAGTTATCTTTTTTTCCTTAAAATGTAAAAACAATTTACACTACCAAATGTATCAAACTTTTTACATACCAAACATTTGGGGTCAGTAAGATTTGTAATGTTTTTGAAGTCACTCACGCTCCCCTTAGGTTGCATTTACTTAAACAAATATACAATATAATTCAAAATAATATTAATTAATAATAATAATATTTTCTTTAAGATTTATTATTTCATATTTTATTCAGCATCATTACTCTAATCTTCAGTGTCACATGAAACATTTCTTATTATCAATGTTGAAAACAGTTGTGCTGCTTCATATTTTTGTGGAAACCATTTCTTTTTCAGGATTCTTTTATGAACAGAAAGTTCAAAGAACAGCGTTTATTTGAGACAGACATTTTCAGGAACACTATAATTCCAAATTTGTCAAAATTTGGAAAAATAAATCAAAAGTCAAGACAATTCAATCAAATCATGATATGGACTAGTGCAGTGGTTCCCAAACCTGTCCTGGCCCTGCACATTTTGTATGTCTCCCTAATCAGACACCCAATTTAGTTCTTGCAGTCTCTACTAACGAGGTAATGAGTGGAATCAGGTGTGTTAGATAAGGGAGACATACAAAAGGTGCAGGGCAGGGGGGCCTCCAGGACAGGTTTGGGAACCACTGGACTAGTGAATATTAAACCACAAAAAAATATTGAAATATAAATCCTGCATGTTCTACATGTCTCTGTGTGAATGAATCAGCACGTTGTTTGCCAAAATAAATTTAATTTGATTATAAATTAATGTTTTATGCCTTCATTTGATTACCAATAAATAAATAACTCACAGGATCCTAAATATGTATTTTTTGGTTAAACTTTTAATAAATCGCTATTCAATTGTATACGTTTCATGATTTTAATTAAGTAGACGTGCTTTCTGATTACCAAAATTGAATTTAACCATTAAAATGGAGGCAAAAATTCTAATAGAAAAGAACGGAATCCTGAAAAAACAAGGAAAGATAAAACAGATTTCATAGGGCCCTACTTTACTGTCACTTTTGATCAATTAAATGTGTCAATGGTGAATAAAAACACTTTTTTAAACAAATTTTTATGAATAATTACAGTTTTTTAAAGAAGCCACACCACATGTCTTTTTAACCTGAACTAATCATCCTTTGAAAGGAAAAGGTTTTTATTTATCTAACACTCAGTCATGAGGGGCCGCAGGGATCCTCTCTCTGATATTTCCTTAAGACTTTCAAGAACGGCCAGACCACCCTGACATTTTGACTTTATGCCCTGAAAGAAATATATTAAAACAATTCAGAAATTAGAAATGTTAATGTATTTTTAAATAAATGAGTAAATACAGACAGACAGATAAAACGCAGGAAGGAAAGGAGCGTCATATGACTCATAGCGGCCACTGAGGCGGGCGGAGACTACAGCTATATGCCAAGACATACTAATCAGACGAGCTAAAATCAAAGAGTGTTGAAAGGAGAGCTGGTCCATGGGATGAATTCTGGGAAAAGGACTGTTTGCATAGAAACTAGGTCGGAGCAGAGAGCGCGTGTACAATGAAGCGACACACACCTGCAACAGCATTGCAGTTGCCCAGCAGTGCCTCCTTGTACTTGCGGAGGCTTTCGTCATCTTTGTCGAGTTCCTGGATTTCTTGAAGGCTCTTCTGGGCCGGCGGCTTGTAGTTGACAGCCTCGCTGTCTTCGTTCTCGGCTGCGATTGCAGCTAGCTGCTCTGGTGTGGGCTCCTGCTCGGCCATGATTGACAGCTGGAGGAAAACATAAACAGACACAGGTCAGAGGAGAGGAAACAAACATGGCCCTTACCAAACGCGGCCCAAATATCATTATAGCAATGGAGATCTGACCCACATATAGTCATGTGATCAGTTCTTCCAGCGTGTTAATTTTTTATAATATTAATGAATTTTAAATGAATTCAACACACACACACACACACACACACACACACACGGACACACACACACGGACACACACACACAGCAACAGCAAACTCCAGCCATCAGCGGAAAAGGACTTGAGAAAGCGGCCTAATGTGGGCATCTGTATTCAGCACTATTGCATTAGTGGTCAAAGCCAATTAAAGAGTCAAATACACTGCACAGCGCACACACACACACACACACACACACAAGGGAGTGTAAATATTTTAGGATGACAGTGAATAATTTCAAATCAAGATTCAAAATTAATATAAATTTTAGATGTGTCCAGGTTTTTAAACTCTATTGTTAAAAAAGTTTTCAAAAACCTCACCAAGGCTGCATGTATTTAATCAAAAATCCAGTAAAAACAGCAATATTGTGAACCATTTTCTATTTAAATAACATCTTAACATAGTAAAACGCACTGAATTTGGGGAAAAATAAAACGGATTTAAAATGTCCCAATTACACGAAAATTGAAAACGCGTAAATACTCGAAATGACTAAATGTATTAATAAAATTGTATTAAGTTATATTATATCTCAATTAACTATAGCTACTACAGTTTAAGAGGTTAGGATCTGTAGATGTTGTAATGTAATGTTCTGCTCACCAAGACTGTATTTATTTGTTCAAAGATACAGAAAGACAGTAATAGTGTTAAATATTATTACAAAATAATGTCATTTACTCCTGTGATGAAAAGGCTGAATTTTCAGCATCATTACACCAGTCTTCAGTGTCACACGATCCTTCAGAAATCATTCTAATATGCTGACTTGCTGCTCAAGAAACACTTGTGATCATTATCAATGTTGAAACAGATTTATATTTTGTGGGAACTGCATGACACTTTTTATTTCCAGGATTTTTGAGGAACAGAAAGTTCATAACGGCATTTCTTTGAAATGGGAATCTTTTGTAGCATTATAAATGTCTTTACTGTCACTTTGAATAAAAACTTTCTTCCTAAAATAAAAACCTGACCCCTTTTGAACAGTAGTGTACAAAATTCATCAAATTCAGCATTAGACAAGATCGCTTTAATTATGATCAGTGAAAACAGGCTCTTCAGAAATGTTGATTATCAACCTCAGGAGGATGGATTTTATTAATATTGAATATTACAGACAATACTGCTATAAAGTTTGGGGTCTGTAAGATATTTTCTAATGTTTTTGAACGAAGTCTCTTATGCTCACCCAGGTTGCATTTATTCATTTAAAAATACAGTAAAAATAACAGATTTCTATTTAAATATATATATTTAAAATGTCATTTATTCCTTTGATCAAAGCTGAATTTTCAGCAGTCATTGCTCCAGTCTTCAGTGGCACATGATCCTTCAGAAATCATAATAATATGCTCAAAAAACATTTCTGTGATACCACCACTTTTTTTTCAGGATTCTTTGATGAACAAAATCAGAAGTAGTAAATACTTCTTACATTGTTCCAAAAACGTTTGATCAATTTAATGCACCTTTTGCTAAATAAAAGTATTAATTTCTTTCCATCAAAAATGGCTATTTTATATTTTTTGCACATATCTAAACACTTTTTTAAAACCTGTTATTTTTGAAGAAATAAATAATGATCAAAACAACAATTAAAAATCAGTTAATTGCTGAATTCATACTTGGTTATGTTCCTTTAGGAGCCGCTGCTACATTCATGTGTGTTTTACCCTCAAAGCGCCCTTCAAGTCATCAAGAAGAGAAATTCCACTTGGCCGCCAACAGCGTAACTATTTCTATAAATCCAACCACTTGTTTCAAACAAAGTAAAGGCCTGCCAGCTATTCTCACAAACAGTTGTAATGAGGACCACATATGAACGAACACAAGATACGAGCCGAGAGAGCCAGTGAACAACAAGGGAATGCACATGTGTACTAGAACAGCCTGCAGGTCGTGTATATCGAAGACAGATGTTTTTGCATAACACTTGCGTAAGACTCTCTTTGAGCACACTGCAGAACTGGTGAACGAGCTTGTCTCATGAAAACCCACAAAGTAGTTTTCTAAATAAACAGAACGTTGTGTGTTGGTGTGGACGCCAATATAGTTAACGTTATAGTTATCTTTAAAAAGTTCTTGGTGTGAACAGGCCTTTACTGTCATTTATTTTTGTATTAGAGGGTACGTTTACACAACAACAAATGTACTAAAAACAGATAAGTTCTTACTGTGTTTTTGTAAAGTTTTGTGTACAGACAACAATGTTATCAAAATAATCTTCATTCATGCGAATCTATGAAAACAACCAAAAACGCTGTATTATTCATGCCAGGCCATTAAACGGTTTTCACAAATTAGCATTTTTGTAGTTTACAATAGATTGTAGAGACGATAACGGTATTGTTTTCAAAAATGTGCACTTTGAAACTCATTTTTAGGCCCCCAAAACAACATTGTCATGTAAGTGAACGTCCAAAACTCAAAATACTTATCCATTTTAGTTGCCTTGTAAATGCCCCCACAATCTTTGTTTTGGAATCTTTGTATTATAATTAATTTGTAAAGATATTGCAAGTTCTAGTAAACCCCCCTATAAAATCCAACATCTAACAAGTAGTATTTTAACATACCAGTCAGAATTATTTCACCATCAAATTTTTCTGTTGAGCTCCATCTGGTTGCAAGATGATTCAAATTTTGGATTCAAAATGCATTTGAAATATTACAATTTATAGATTCGTTGCTCGTAATTTTACATTTTTAATTTGAGGGAAGCAGAACAGAAAAGCACCAGTGTCCCTTCTGGAACTGGCAAAAGTTAATTAAGACAGATGAAGTACAATCTGTTTCTGCTGAAGAATCAGTAAAACATGAAAACAAGGTCCCTGCAGCAAGTGCAGTTCAGCGAAACGCATTCATGCCCAGATTACATCACTTCAGCTGCCAGAGTAAACCAGTACAAACCCCATTAGCCATTTGGCAGTCGTCTCAATATTAATACACACAAGGGAGCACAGGGTAATTTCACACAGCTAAGTGTGATGGACTAGCCATTTAATATGGTTGTAACAATTATTGCCTACACATGGGCAGCATAACCAAGGGAAACAGAGCGAGCTGTCACATCCAGTTCAAGCACTCGACAGTGAAAACGGCTTGAATTTAACATTAGGGCCTTTCGCAATGTACAGTACTAAAGTACTGGGACGATTTTGCGCAAACTATTTCCCAGTACCATTTAAAGGGTTGCATTCGCACCGGCAGTGTGTACTAGGAACCGGTCGACAGCGACGTCATTTGTGCGCGGCGTTCAACAACGAAAACAAAGAAGAACAACATTAACAACAGGAGGATGGAGGACGCTGTAATTGGAGTTTTTTTTATTGTCTCTCGCGGGTAGGGCTGGGTATCCTTCATAAATTTTCGATATCGATACGATACCTTGACTTTGATACCGGTTCCTGAACAATACTTTTTTCGATACCAATTTTATTAAATCAATTTGAACAAGATTACATTATCTAAAAAAAAAAAAAATTTGGTTTTATTTTTCTGCTTGTTGATGTTTATACAGACACAGAGACTCGTCTCCTGAGTCACTGCACAAAGGAATAAAATGTAACTAACAAAAAATCAGTGCAAATAGTTAATAAAGCTCAAATAGTCTTCAGTTTACACATCTGTTAGGCTACATTTACACTAGTGCGTGTTTGTTTTAAAACGCCTAGCTCAGACAGAATCGTAATTTCTATTACTTTTCCACTGATTTACTGATAAGCATTAGCAGCTTCTAGCGCTGTCTGCCTGTGCTCTCTCTTCCATGATCGCTGCTCTGACTCAGAGGTTATAATATATTTAATTTCATCAACAATACATGGCCAAAACACACACGGCAATCGGAAGTTATTACAAAAACTTGATGGTGGTTTAAAATGAGTTGAGTAAAAGCGGAATATAAATCTTATTTATTGTTATGAAATCTATTTGAACAAGATTACATTATCTAAAAAAAAAAAAAATTTGGTTTTATTTTTCTGCTTGTTGATGTTTATACAGACACAGAGACTCGTCTCCTGAGTCACTGCACAAAGGAATAAAATGTAACTAACAAAAAATCAGTGCAAATAGTTAATAAAGCTCAAATAGTCTTCAGTTTACACATCTGTTAGGCTACATTTACACTAGTGTGTGTTTGTTTTAAAACGCCTAGCTCAGACAGAATCGTAATTTCTATTACTTTTCCACTGATTTACTGATAAGCATTAGCAGCTTCTAGCGCTGTCTGCCTGTGCTCTCTCTTCCATGATCGCTGCTCTGACTCAGAGGTTATAATATATTTAATTTCATCAACAATACATGGCCAAAACACACACGGCAATCGGAAGTCATTACAAAAACTTGATGGTGGTTTAAAGTGAGTTTTGAGTAAAAGCGGAATAATCTTATTTATTGTCTTATGCAGGGGTTAAATTGGGATTTGTTATGTGTGCGCGGTGGGGGGGGGGGCTCTATGGTATCGAGCATATATATATATATGTGTGTGTTTGTGTATGTATATGTGTTTTGTTTTATGTGCAAGTGATTTATTCTATTCCCACTAATCTCATTAATACTTTCATTTCAAATTCTTACATTTGATCTATAAATTCAATTGACACTGAAAAATACAACTGCATTAAATAATTATTATGAGATTATTTTAAATATTTTTTAATATACAAACAAGAAATTATGGTGGAAAT